GGGAGGGGGGAGGAATTGTCTCAGCGTATGTCCTCTTCCTGCCAAGCTGATACCTTTTCCAGAAGTAGTCAATTAAGTTTTCTAACATAACTTAGACTAAGCAGTTGAGGGGGGAGGGGAAGCTGTCCTTCTTGGACAGGTAAGAAGGGATTGCTGTGTGGTGGGGTTTTTTTAATGCATCCAACTATCACCTCCTCATAAAGTCATTTTTAATATCTTCTCATAACACCTCTCAACATACATTTAAAATTCTTCTGCCCATTTAAACAAACAAACAAAAAATTGACAAGTACAACACTGTAACATTATCATATAAAAGCATGTAAAGATCAGTATTTTTTCACTTTGATAGTAAATTAATTATGACAGCCATTCTCAAGAGTTTTTACAAATGAAACTATTACAGGTTACTTTTGTTTTAACAATAAAATCCTTCCACCTACATGTATATTGGGTAACACAATTTCAACACACCACTGTGGTCACTTGGCAAGATAGAAGCCAGATGTAACTTTTTTTTAAATATCCTTTTAAGATATTAAGAAAATACGTTAATTACACTTCTGAAACTAACCATGATTAATCAGTGAGAATCAGCGATTAACTAATTCTGTGTTTGAGTAAAACATATTAGATTTCTCAGGCTTTTAGTTTTCTGGCTAGTTGTCTTAAAAAAACCCCCCACAAACAAAACCAACTCACCCCAAAATCATCTGACAACATTAAAAGTTTATCTATATGAGAGGGATCAAGAACTGAGACCCTGAGACCAGTATGACCTGGCACTGCCTGCTCACAATACAATGACCTAAGAGCACAAATAAGGTCACTGCAAGTTATGGTGCAATTTGCTTTCTGTATTCCCAAAGGCATTGTTAGATCTTCAAGCAGCTTGTGGAAAGTAAGAGGAAAAATAGAACACCAGATTGTTTGAAAAGACCTCTACCCTTAGATGGCCTAAACCTCCTTACTGCACTATATGGTGTGGCAAGTACCCAGCAACTCTTGGATACTTCATAAGGAGGAAATAAAGTAAGGCCATGCAGGACTCAGCTCCGCATCAGAGGTTCCCAAAGTGCAACCCACAAACCATCTGTGACCCATAAAAGCCTTCCTATTTAGCTTGCAAAGGGACTTCATTGTGGTCATCCTCAACAGAACCAGTTCATTAAGTCTGAAGCAATAACAGATTTCTTCCAAGTGGACTGGAGTTGGGGCAAGTGTCTGGGTGCCCAGGAGACAGGAGCCGTCTACGACTAAGAGCCCAGCAAGCTCTGCAACTTGATGCTGTGGATGCTTGCGGGTCCCAGGAGTGCCGTCTTGTCAGAGCCACGCAAGGTCCACCAAAGCCCCAAATCACTGGGAAATGGGGAAGAGTCAGTAACAAAAGCCCTCACTTGCAGGGAGGATCACTATACATTTCAGACAGCTCCCCTGCACTGAGCCAATCACATACACACCACAGCTCTCCATGATCAGAACTTGATGTTCCAGGTCCCAAACAGATCAGGAACACCTGTCTTAGAAGTAGCCAAAATGCATTTTCAAAGAACTAGTATTTGGGACCTTAATGATGTATTAATTATCACGTTATCATCAGTTATTTAAGTTTAAAAAAAAAACTTCAAGATTTACTCACTTTAGTACTGCTAGAAAAAAAAGCATTTACTCAATTTTTACCCCAATTTGGGGGGGGGGAAGAGATGCTGCTTCCCACCTATAAATAAGTAATTTAAGTTTTGATTCATATTTGAATAAAATATAATTCACAACCCAAATAAATTACAGAAGTGATCCTTAGTAAGAACATAATAAACCATCCAAACATGTGACAACTTGAACATTTTAAAAATTTTGAGATCTTTAACAATGAGAGGGAAATAAATCTACCACAAAGTACCGTATTCTTCGTCATCCTCAAATTAAAAGCAAAATTGGGCTGCTGTCTTACAGATTCTCCTGTGAACTCTTGTCACTGCTTTCCCAATACAAAGTAAACTGGGAATGTACACAAGTGCCACTAGGGTAATAATGGCAATGAAAATTCACCACTTCAGATTCTAGTACTATGATGTTTTTTATCAGTCGTACCTCATCTTCTGCACCTGCTGCAGAAGTTAACTTGAGCACAGCTTCACGTTTCTCTTGGAAACACCCTGCAAGGAAGTCAGCATGTCTCATGAACACATTCATTTCTTCACTGGTAACTGGGTTCTTCTCACTTACTTTCGCCATTATCAGCTCTAACAAAGTAACTCTAGAATGAAAAAACAACTTGTTAATCAAATTCACTAAGCCATATAGAATTAACAGTAGAAAAAGCAGATACAGTTGTTAAAATGATACAAACGATTAGCATGCTAGTAACAGAGCTGATTTTTAAAAATTAAGAAGTCTTATGAACACTGGCAATCAGTTCCTGTTCGCTGGTTTATTTCTGCACACCATTAATTTCATTCATCATTCAATTAATACAATCTGGCCAGACAGTCAAGTCAATATTTTTCTCAAGTCTATTTCAATTTCAAATTTCTTATGTCCTAACATAACATTACTGTGACTGCATATTCCATATGTCTAAAATTTCCACCAAAACAGCTCTTAAAAGCTGTTGTTAAGTTCAGCAAAATAAACACAGACTATTTGACAGCTTCCATTTGAAAATACCAGCTTTTCACGGCCCTTGCCTTGCACGCAGTCCTTTACTAATTCTCCTCCCTAACCCCAAATGAATTCTGAGCAGAAACAGGGGAAATAAAAATTGATATGCACACTCGGTTCTTTACAGCTGTTTTATAATTGCCACTAGATAGACTACAGTAAATCCAAGTTAATTACTCATATACCCAGTAAGAGTTATTCAGTGTATTAAACCAGCAAGTAAGTGGATACATAATGAAGCTGCTCTATAAAATGTACTTGGGTCATTTATTTTAACAGCTTCAATGTCGTTTTATTTCCGATATCCCTTCACGTTGTTAGGGCAAACTGGGAGTATTTTGTGGAAGCAGGACTTTAACATGGCAGAGGCCCTCCTACAGCTTCCCTGTTCAACTCCAGCGCAGAGGAGCACATGGGTTAGTGAAGTCCCACTGTAATTCTCTCAACCTGAAAGAGCGCTATTATTGAATGAATTCAAGTGCAGGCTCAGGGTTTTCTTTCACTAAAATATTTGCAATTCAGATGGAAGGACTGACATTTAAACATATGGAATAGTTCAAATGCTTTTTCTTTTTTTTAAATTTACCAAGCAGGTTGTCACAAGGGGAAGAGAAATGTCTTTTTCTGTGGAAAAAGCACGGTCACTGCTTTATTAACCTCCAAGAACCCACCCCTATTAATCACGTAACAGCTACTCAGTTCTTGCTTAACTCAACCCTCAGTGTCATTAATACGGCTGCATTAAACAATTATCTGAATGAGGACAAAAAGCTTTTTCAACACGGTAGCACAGAAATGCGCTCAACACATTTGGGAAAGGGTGGACTCCAGACAGAAGGCTGTCAAACACTGGTAACCTCTCTCACAGGCTTTGCTTACGTATGTGACGGAGCACCGACACAGAACAGTCGTTCTGTTTGTTCTTCGGGTTACAGCTGGGTACCACAGGCTTGCCCATCTACAAACTACCAGAGTCCAGTTACCCAACATCCCTAACTGAACGAAGGCTTTCAATTTGGCATACTATACAAAAATCAAGTTAAGTGCACAGACATGTCATTCATCCCTAAGATAGGGCTAGATTTTACATGCCAGTTTTTACCAAGTTTAGAGCCTTTCAAGCATATGCTCAGCTAAGAAAACAGGCTGCTAACAGACTTTATGATTACAGGAATTATTCCAATAAAATACTATCTCCTGTGTAACAGAGTTTCAGTCAGCTATTGTTGCACCAATAGTCCAAATAATACACGTTTAACACCAACAAGGAATCGTTCTGTAAAGAAGCTGGAGACTTACCACATACGTGCATAAACTGTATTAGTGAGATGAAATTATTGCTAATAGGGGAATTTTTTTGCATTACTCTTCCTCTTGCAATATAATTGGGTGCCCTTTTAGACAACCATAATCCTTTCGGAGAAACAGGAGTGACATTAAAACACCACCTGTATGTAATTTCTTTTAAAGTTTTCTGTTCTCTTTAGGCATTCATGTCAAAACTGTTTTCCTTAGTTTTCTTCCAGGCACGGTCATTCAGGACATGCCCATCTTTCCCCTGAATTTCAAGCAAGTCTTGCCATTCAGCCAACAATTTCCTGAGAGCAACGCTTTTTGTTCTGGTGCAAGTTCCCTTACATTCCTTTCTTCTATTGTTTCTCTCCGTTTTCTTCCAAGACTCACCCAAATTTTTCCAAGTTAGCTCTCCCACACAATGCAATTTGCTCATTTCTTTTAAACAATCTCACAACTGTTTAGCCATTCAGATGACAGAGTTTGTTCCTACTTGTTTGCCTATAGCTAAGCACAACAGATATGACAACTGTTAGTACCAGTTTTAGCCATCTCATCATGAATTTTTGTAACACTCAGTTCAATATCTAAAATACAATTTTGTATATTATATTTATGATTATATTTCTATTTGGAAATGATCATGCCGTAAGTGTCATCTTCCTTTTCTTTAGGCACCACTCAGGAAGACTTTTTGTCAATCTCTTGCTTTTTTTTCCCCTAGCCAAATTTAAACCCGTTCTTCCTGAAGCTGACCAAATTGGCAAGAACTTAGAACAACTACTATGAAGTATTTGCAATCATCAGTAAAACACATCGCTGTCTCCTATAGTCTGCAAATAAACCACAGCATTAAAGTGCAATTTAAATCTGGAAGCTCATTGTTGCAAATTAAAGTGAAGTCCTACTAAGCCTCTCTAAAAATAGTATTGTAAAATTCTATCAATTTTATTATTGCCAAATAATTTTTTTATCAAGCGTGCTTGGTTTATAACCTTTTAGGAAGTGCCAGACACTTGGGACGTTCTTTCTCTGTGACTGGGACTTCTCTTTCCTGAAACATTTCACTGACAGCAATGGTTCTATGAGACAAATTAGATCCTTCCTCAAAATTTTCCAGTTCTTTCATCTTTGAACGATACTTGTAAGCATCCCGTTAAATGAAAAATGGTAAATGTGTGAAGGACTATAATCCAACGCTACCTTCAGCTATTCTGTGTCTGTGAGCATTACCAAGAACAAAAACCCACCACAACATTGACATTAGCAGCCCTGTAGCTGAACATAAGCAAGAAGTGGTGCCACTTACACTACTTGAGTGCCTGTTTCCCTGCTGGCAATTCAATCAATGGCTACGTCATTCATTGAGAACACTTCACATGAAATAACACAAAAATCAAAACTAAAGATGCAAGTAGCTGAGCATCTTAAACACACCTGAAGCTATTCAGTTGCATTTTTGTTGCTGTTAATTAAAGCAAGACCCCTACTCATTTTGAAGATTTTACAGTGTAATTAAGACTATCAAGGCATTAACTTAGGTTGTCCATGCTCAAGGCTAACTTGGATTAAAGCAAAACAGGCTTTTTCTCAATACTTCTGCCAAATACTTGCACACACGTACAGGGAAATCTCAAATCTGGCAAAGAATTAAAGAATTTACCGTCTTTTGGCTCAATACCATAGCCATATGTTTCTGCAATAATCACTTGCAGAGAAACAGCAGGCATTGTCACATCATCATACACTTTTCAAAACCAGAATACCATTAAAAAAGCTGATCATATTATCACAGTATTTATTTCAGGCCATTTGCAAACTCAGACATGCAACACCAAAGTGCTTAAATTTGTTTGGAAATGAAAGAGAAAGTTGTCCAGAAGTCAGGAATTTGTCTTTTAATTGAAAATTCAGATTCCAGATCCACTTCTACAACAAGAACTACTTCATGGCACGCACCATGGCCACAGCATCACAAATGCACTAGATTTCAGTTACAGGAAATACTTTGAATAGTGCAAATACTGTGAATAGTGCAAATAACTGCGGTTATGCAACTGCATATACTTTGGTTATCTAAGGCAGCTGCCAACTTTAAGTCACCGCTAACGTATGTATTCACAAACTTTCTCAGCATAGGTAATTTCGTTGCAGTAAATACACTTAAAGTAAGTGTATTTAATGTGCATGATAGAGAATACTGTAACTGAGAGTTACCATATATTCATGAGCTCAAACTGCTTTCCCCAGACACCTCAATACCACATCTGTCCTTTCTTCATTTATATGACTTAGTCAGCCTTATTGGACACCCAATGCGGCAACTCTTGCGGTGAAGGCTCTTTGTCTTGTTTTGAAACAATGAATTCCCTATGCTTTGGTTTATACTTTTTTCTCCAGTTAATGACAGTCAAAATGTTTTTATCTGAATTGGATTTGTCTCCTCATATATCTCAAAAGAATGCATTCTTAAATATGCTAACATTATATAGGAAGATGCCACGGCAGGGTTTTCTTCTATAACTCAGATGCAAAAGGACTATTTCTACACCACTTCCATATGTTTGACAGTAAATTAAGCAGTATCAAATTCATAATAAACTGTACCGTGATTATGTCTTTGAAAAACTTTTGAAAGTTTACTTGATTTGCAGAGCTCTTGGGATTGATAATAAAGTCAGCGAATATGCTGTGACTAGCCATCCCGCATGTGATCATCCATATGATGCCTACACCAAAAGCCTTCCAATCGAGGTAGCCGACCACCATCTGTAGCACAGTGCGTGCAACAAATCCAGCTGAGACCTTTCTAGAAACTGATTACGTCTATTGCTTTAAGTACAATTGAACAACCTAACCCAGTCCTGGCTGTCCTCAAGGGGATTACAAAAACATACAAACAAACTGCCATACATGACATCCCCCAAAAGAATTAAATCTAGCTCATTCACATAAAACAGTCTTTCCTACTAACTGGTTAAGGAGCCCCTACCTCCAGGTACAGTAAGCACACAGCTCATATTCGTTCCCATTTGGTCAGCCTGAATAAAGGAAGAAGACAATACTTCCCTCCTTATCATTCCCATCCCTTGTTTTCCATCCCATACCTATACATTAATGATATTTTATCTCTGGTTCTCAACCTATCATATACTCTTTCTTTGCCTGCCATCCCTTTTGTTTCTTTATAACCTTTGATCAGCGTCTGTACCCCCATTTGTAATAACACTGCGGCTTTAGTCACAGCAAAAACCACAGGAAAAAAAAAAACATTAAGGGACTGCTTTGTTTACTGCTTTGTCTTTCACCTGCAAAAACTATAGGGGGAACTTGCAGTTTCCCTGGGCAAGTGGGGAACAAAGTAGCCATGTTGAATACATAAACCAGATCACAAGATCTTCAAGCAGTAGGAGGAGCTGTAGAATTATAGCACAGGATTTCCCAAAGTTGATTATTCTAACAAAATAATTTTTTATCTTCCCCGATTCTTTATTAAAGCAATTGTAAATAAGCATTTTCCCAATTATAGCAATGGCCATTTCCCATCATTTCAGCATATATTTACTCACACGCCTGAAGGAAAACTAGCTAGTTTCTTTCAAGGTGAAGGTTTGTTGAAGCATTGTATATTTTCAATCGTGGAAACACTAAAAGATTAAGTAATCATGGGCATCTGCACATCTATGTTTTTTAGGTTCTGGTAACCACTATTAGATACACTTCCAACTTTAGTAAAGCCTTCCTTTTAATTTCTTGTAATTACAACAGGGATATGAACAGCTGAGGACATTTCAAATACAGCTGTAAAACACTGCAGGGTGTGGTGCTCTTACGAAATCAAGACACAGGCATGAAATCTTGTCTCTTTTTTTTTTTTTTTTTTTTTTTTTTTTTTTTTTGAAGTATTTCTTTACCGAGTAATGGCGCCAACCTGGATTCTGCAACCCTACATAAATCACTGCCAGTTGTGGCTAAGCTGTAATGTTAACCAACCAATTTAAAACCATTACTGACATAGAAACATGTATTTAGAGATTTTGTGCCAACTATGAAACCACACAGTTTTTCAATCATGTGAACAGGATACTCTATATGGAATGCTAAATACTAAAAGCCACACTGGTTTTTGGGGTTACCTTTCTTGATTGCTCAGTTTGGCATAGAGGGCTTTTACCAACTCTGGACATTTCAGCAAATGGTCTGTAACAATCAAGAACCTAAAGAAAAAAAGAAGTGTTACTGGTGCTACAAAAACAGCATCTACATTTACTCCAAATGGTGCTGGTTATTTTTACTAGTAGATGACTGTGTGACATGTTTCTGGTCCTATTTGCTAATAGATACAAATTGTCACAAATTAATTGCACATTGTTGTGCAGTATTTTTCCTAATGCAGCAATGGCTATTTCCCATCAATTCAGCACACTTTTATTCAAATGCTTGAAGGAAAGCTGGTTTAGAGTCTTTTGCCAGTTATACAAAAGGTACACCACAATTCAAATAATAAAACACTCACCCAATTGTTTATGCATCTCAGCAAAAAGCCACAGTTCAAGCTTGAAAACTATTATGCTACTCGTCACAACACTGTTTTTAAGCCCACCAAACAGTCAAAAAAGTGCTCAAATAATTTCTCTCTTAAAGAAATTCTAACAAAACATCAAAGCAAATGGAAACTTCTTTGTCAGATGCAAGGCAGCAAAATACTCGTCTCAACTTATAAAAAATACCCTCCTTGTGTAATAGGAACCTAAGCTGATAACCAAATCTAACTCCTTGCTCTATGAGGCAGGTAGCTGTGGTCAGTCTACCCTTGTGCTAATGCCAGTATTTACACTGATCACTTTCCCAAGCACCATTCACAGCAGTCAACAGCAGATGCTAATCATTTAATTTCAACCCAGACACATACTCTCAGCATTATGGGAAAAAATGAAGTATGTAAAAATATTTTTCTCCTCAAATTACATTCCTAGGAGCACTGACAGTGTTGTGTATGCATACTGAACTATGCATTTTTAAAGCAGTGTGTCTAACTACTAAATATGAAATAGTTACAGGTCAAATGTCAGAGCATCCTCTGAGCTGATGAAGCTACTGAGAAAGAATAGCTAAAATAGTATGAAAATCAAGTGATTTCAATATGCCCTCCACCTCCTCCTTACTTTTCACTTTGCTGACAGCCTTTTATTTTGTGTATCCGAAATCCACTACATAGCTAACAGGAAGATCACATAGAAGCCTTCCAGCTACAACAAAGTATTTTTTGGACAAATGCTCAATGACAATTGGGGAAATAAGAGAACAAGAGGTCCAAAAGATTAATAGCTATTCTATTTCTAACAGTAACTGTGGACTTAGCCAGCATCTGGTTCAGTTACTTTAAACTACATGTTTTTAAGAGGGGGAGGGAGAAGAAAAGCTATTTTGTGCTGTGCTTTTTTTTTTAATTGATATTTGTACACACGTTCAAGGAAAAAAATAGTATAGGTGTAGGGAATCATCAGCTTAAAATTGGGATTCTGAGCAGTGTAGCATTGATTCAAGAGTTTCTCACCACAAATTTAAACCTACAGACTTCCCCAAAGTCAACAGTACAAATGTATGCCAACTGAGCAGCGCAGACTCAGCCGTAACAACTGAATCAAGCCATCAGCAGGGCAATCAAGGGGAACACTTCTACAGTTCCCGAACCAACAATTCATGGCATACGAGCCATCCACAGTTAAACCTTCAACTGACTTTATTTTTTAAGGATTTGAGTAGAAACAAAGGCTTTTATCTGAAGCTGCAAAAGAAAAAAGCATAATAATCAGAGTTGTGCAGAACACAGTACTTAGCCTCACAATGTACAATTTCAGCTGACAACGAATTATGGTAAAAGAGCATTTAAGGAGAGAATCTGAAGCCCAATTTTGCAGTTGGGACTATGAATTTAAATCTTAATTTTCATGATTATCATTACTTTGAGGAAATCTTCTTGACTATTTGCCTTGTAGTTAAAAAGCGATCAATAATTATCACAAAAAGATCTAATGCTACTAGGTGCACATTAGTGATTACTATTGCAAAGTGGAAGACCTGTATTTTAGTCATTACTTGGGTCTACACTCTTGTATTTATTCACACACCTTTCACGTTCTGTGGACTAGACCTCTACTGCTTGAGGAGTTTGCAGTATTTCAGAATAAAATTTCTGCTTATAAAGGAGCATAGACTTCCATATACGCTTCTTACCCTTTTAATTTCATGACATGAGATGTAACACCTCAGAAATTTCTGCTTCTGTATTTAAGTTTCTCTTCTACCTTATCCACTTCCTGCATTACAGTATCATAAAGAATAGAGCACTAGCATATTTTACAAGAGCATCACCAAGACAGAACAGAGATTAGTAGTGGAATAAAGCACTTCAAACTCTTGCTACCATGCCCAGAAATTTTGGTGGTAGTCAAGCAAGGATGCAGCAAATCAACCCTAATATCTTTAGTCCTCAGCTCTCCTGTTTTTCATTTGGGGCAGGGGAGAAGAGGAGGAAAAGTAAGACCATCCACAACTCTAAATAAAAGAAGACATTCAGTTTTGGGTTACTGACTGAATATGGCATTTCAGATGCACACAAAAGGCTTTGGTAGGAGATTTTAAACTCTCTTTGGGGGCCAGCAGCAGAACCACTGGGATAAAGTGAGGACCACTGTAATTTAGTGAAGGAAATGGTGAAAATTAAAGTTGTTATGCAAGCGTAACACAGTAACAAATGAACAGTGTTAAATATGCCAATTTTCTTGACTTTTTAAAAATTGTTTGGCTAAAATCCTAAAAAAATCAAGTGCTTACATAGTAGATAAATACAGGAGATGTTCAGTTTAAAGACTTTACAATAGCACAAGGGCTGCATTGTACCAAATTGAACTTGAGAAGCAGCCAAGATGAAATGGTATAAGCTACATTTGCGCTCAGTATATTCTAAATGACCACTAAGCTTGCTCCAATCAAAGCCGGGTGTAAGCAATCAACTTTATCATAAAATGTCATGCTCCATATTAAGCTGATTTGATCCCATTACCAAGTTTAGAGAACAGTGTCCTCGGACTCAGAAAATGAGGAAGAAACCCCCCACAAATGTTTTAGAAGAAAGAAGAAAAAGATGTGGCGATTCACTATTTGATCAGCAAACTTCTCTTCCGATCTCAAAACCAAAAGCATTTTTCATCATCCTACAATAATGCCACTCTATGCAAAATATTTAGTAAGAATAAAATAGCTATTTTTACTGTAGTTTAACAAACAAATGTAGCAAATCATCCAGATTTTGAAGGAAAAAAGAAGAAAATTTAGACAGCTAACCTTTCAAAGCCATATCACCAGCCTTTTTAGATGCTAAAAAAGCAGTATGCCTCAGGAGGAACTGTTTGGAACCAGAACATATTTTAGAAGCAAAAGTATTTTTTGTCCTTGCACAAGAATATAAGCACCCTATCAAAACTACTTAAAAAACAGTTACAAGTATAAAGCTATTTAATAACAAATGGAACACGTGTTGTCACAAAGACCTCTAGAAAGTAGATAATTCATCCCACTGAAACACCAGCAATTCTCACTCAAAAGAAGAATAAGGAAACACATTTCCATATTTAAGGCTCAACCCCAAGTATCAAGCACCACAACACTCCTCTCCCGAGCTGAATCAAGCACAACAGTGAACATCCTTCCATCTTCAAAAGGCATTACCCATAATGAATGCATCCTCCTTACAGGCCACAATACTGTCCACCAAGGCAACTTGCAGGTCTAGAAGACTGGGTTCAGATTACCTGTAATATTTCTCTTATTCAGAAGACACTCTCATTCAATTTGATAGCTACATCTGAAAGGGGCTAAAAAGAGACTTATTTTTACTTATGAGCAAATTTGGAATAATTTTTTTCTGAAGAGCTACCAAGAAAACCTGGAAGATGAGTAGCAACACAATCACTTCCTGCTCCCCCCCCTCCACAAAATATACAAGAAGAAAGAGGTGACAAGATAAATAAATGTGTGAGGCTGGCCTTTGAAAGATTGATGAAATCTGTGCCAATACACTGCTACTGCAAATAGAAAGTAGAAGCTACTCAGATCTCTACAATTAAGGAAACTTTTCCAATTGTCAGTACTATTTAAAACCACAGTTGAACTTGGAACCTGCAACGTAACTCCAACTTTCCTGGAATTAAAAATAAGAATTACTTTCTGGAGAGTAGAAGAAGGGGGTGGGGGACACCCTAAACTGTCAGAGAGAAAAGACAGAGTTGCAAGCCCAAAATGAAAAGAAAAAAAAAAAGGTAACATTTTCTGGTTTCTGCACCACATGCATACCAATTAAGCAACAAGCGCTCTACTGAGGAGTTCCATCTTTGCCTTTAAATCTGTGCCCACGGGCAAGACTCCTTGCCACAGGAGCACTAGTTTCTGTCCACACTTCTTTCCATAAGCCAGGACAAAATAACCAAAGGCAAAAAATGGGGCGGGGGAGCCCCACATCCTAATCTTTACAGTCATCATTGAGCTGTGGTTTCAAAAAGAGAAAGTGGATGTTCAGAAAATCTTGCTTCCAATGCCAAACAGCTGACCACACTCCTAATATCGTTTTTCTGGAAACCAAAAGGCATATTATGCTTCTTATTTTAAAATGGAGGATTTTTGTTCCTTGCTCTTCAGGAATCAAAAATACAACCTGTTTTTTCTTTCCATAGTAGCTACACTGCCCCATGCACACACTTGGAAAAACTGATGACACAAGCTATACTCTCATCTTTAATGGAACCACCAAAGTATTTCTAAAATAAACAGCTTTTAGAATACACATTGGTCTTGGTTAGGATAAATTATAATGTAATTTTGTACTACTTTTTCCTAATTATTTTACAAAACACATATGTTTGCAGGTTCAATATTCTAAAATAGATCTCACGTGGCATTCTGTGCTGGTTTCTCTTCTAAATACAGTAGCTTCTAAACTGTGTGACACACTTTTCTGCTGTTGATTAATACAAACCCGAAAGGTAGTGGATGTGTATGTGTGGGGAAACACAGAGGAATGACTTTTTATAGGCTGCACAATTTTCCAGAGCCTAAGGCATAGTTCTCTGCATGTTTTAAGCAAAATCTTTTACTGAAAAAAAAAAAAAAAAAAAAAAAACACAAAGGCCCCCGCTCCGCCACCCCCCTGCTTGGCAAG